ACAACAACAGCAACATCAGCAGCAGCAACAACAACATCAACAACACCAACACCAACAACGACAACAACGACAACAACAACAACAACAGCAGCAACAACAACAACAACAACAACAGCAGCAGCAGCAACAACAACAACAACGAACAACGGTGCGGCCGAACAACGGTGCGGCCGAACAACGGTGCGCCCGCCGATGCTGCGCATTCGGGGCAGCAGTTCGTGCGCGCAGCGCGCACGGGCGCAGCCCGTCAGGCAGACCGTCGGCTGCTGGGACTGCGCGACGGCGCCGACCAGGCGTCCTTCCAGGGGGCGGTTCGCAGACCGGCACGGCGACGCCGCCCCGATCGGAGCCGCTCGTCGCCTGCTGACGTGCGCGCCGCCGCTGCTGCGCAATGGAAGTAGCCGCGCGACGCCAAGGCCGTGCTCTGCAACCGCCAGGAGGTCCTTCAGAACCAGGTTGCTGCTGCTCGCGGATGCTGGAACGGCCTTTTCGCTGGAGACTTACTGTCAATTCAGCACCACAAGGGAGTCTTTCAGAGCATTACTGTTGCTACTCGCGGATGCAGGAGCGGCCGTTTCGCTTAAGACTTCTTCGTCGTTCACCAGCACAGAGAAATCAGTCAAAGCAGTCGTGCCGCAATTTGCGGAGGCCTTCGGAGGCCCCACAACGCTCCAGGGATCTGTGTTGGGAAAGCGTTTTTCGGCCCTCCCCCCCCAAGACAACAGCGGTTCCCGCCTGATACCCCCTCTCAATGTATTGAGGAATCATGGTGTCGCGCTGGACTTCCTGAATTCATCGATATGTCGCGCTCTCGCGTGGGGCTTCTTCACAATTTATTGTGAAACCCTTGCGGCCGGTGCCGCCGATCCAGAAGGACGACCACGACGACGACCACGGCGACAACGACAACGACGAGCTGATGACCCTGCCACAGGCTCGAGACACTAGGGCGGGTGATGGAGGGAAGAGGAGGAGGAGGAGGAGGAGGAGGAGGAGGAGGAGGAGGAGGCGGGAGGAGAGGGGAGAGAGAGGAGGAGAGAGAGAGGAGGAGGAGGAGGAGGAGGAGGAGGAGCGGGGGAAGGCGGACGAGGAGGAGGAGGTGGAGGAAGAGGAGGAGATGAGGAGGATGAGGAGGAGGAGGAGGAGGAGGAGCGGATAAAGAGGAGGCGAGGAGGAGGAGGAGGCTGTCTCCTCGGGGGCGGGCCATGGCCGGGGATGAGGCTGGATCGCGATCTGCTCTCGCGTCGGATTTTCTTGCAAGTTGTTCACACGCCGCGCCCTCGACACTGAGGAATCGCGCTCTCGTTTTGGACTTCCTCACGGTTTACTTGGCTGGAGACTTCTCCGCAATTTATGCAGGACTGGCGCGTCAGCCACTCGCCAGCCCGACCCGCCCGTTAGGGTCCGCCCGTCCGACCCGCCCGTCGAGCTGTTTTCTTGCTTCTACCGCGCTCTGGCTAATCTCGCTCGTCTTCCATCCTTCTTCCGCCCCATTGTCCCTTCATCTCTCCTACCTCACTTCCGTAGTTTTAGGGGCTGCCCCAACTACAACTGGAAGGTGAGGAAGATATTCCCGAAGGGGGGTACGGTCGAAGACAACGTGGGCGGGTATCAAGGGCTTGAGATATACATGTTGATTGGCACGCCAGCAGATACGATCGTAAGTCTTCACATGATGGGATTCTCACTTCTAAAGAACAGTTATTGTTGATCCCGCTCCAGTTCCCACCGTGTTTTTTGAACCAAAGACCCCTTCTGGGGGCTCATATTCTGTTTTTTACAAGAGAAGGTTGCTACGAGGGAGCATCTTGCGCCTCATATTCTTCCGCTGGCACCCATTTTACATCAGCAACGGCTCCCGCCTGATACCTCATCACAAATTGTTCAAGCTCGCGTTCTCGCGCAGGACTTATGCAATGCATCCACGAATCGCGCTCTCTCGTTGGACTTCTTCGCAAGTTATTGACACGCCGTGCCCTCGACACTCAGGAATCAGGCTTACGCTTTGACGCTCCACACGGGTTACTCGGGAATCGCGCTAACGCTCAAGACTTTCTCGCAATCCATGCAAGGCTGACGCTTCAGGGACTCGCCCGCCCGACCGGGCCGGGCCGCCTGAGTCCGCCTTGCCAACCGGCCCGTTAGGGTCCGCCATTTATTTTCTGTTTCTTTCCCCCCTCCTGCTCATCTCCCTCGTCCTTCATCCTTCGCCCTCCCCATTGCCCATTCCTTCCATCCTCCTTCCCATCCGTTGTTTTGAGGACTGCTCCAAATACACGTGGCATGTAAGGAAAATATGCCCTCAGGGGGGCACGACCGAAGACGACGAGCGCGGATATCGAGGGTTTGGGATATATGTGTTGAATGGCACGCGAGCAGATAAGAGCGAACACTCTTAACATGCGTGTTGTCAGTGCTGATACTGTTGCTGCTGTTGTTGTTGATGATGGTGATGCTGGTGATGATGATGGTGGTTGTGATGATGGCGATGATGATACTGATGATGATTATGATGATGATGCTGCTGATGATGATGATTGTGATGATAGTGATGCTGATTACGATGATGATGCTGCTGCTGCTGATGATGGTAACGACGACGATGACGATGATGATGACAACGCTGCTGCTGCTGCTGCTGCTGATGATGATGATGATGATGATGATGATGATGATGATGATGATGATGATGTCGTTGATGATGATGATGACGATGCCGATGATGGTGGCGATAATGATGATGACGATGCTGCTGATGATGATGCTGATGGTGTTGATGATGATTATGATGATGATGATGATGATGATGATGATGATGATGATGATGATGATGATGATGATGATGATGATGCTGATGCTGATGATGATGATGATGATGATGATGATGATGATGATGATGATGATGATGGTGATGATGGTGATGATGAGGAGGAGGAGGAGGAGAAGGAGAAGGAGGAGGAGGAGGCGGACGAGGAGGAGGATGAGGACGAGGTTGAGTAGGAGAACCAGGAGGAGGAGCCCTTGCAGGAACAGCAGGGGCAGGAGGTGGAAAGGAGCAGGAGGACGTGTGAGGACGTGTGAGCAGATCGACACTGCGCTGTTCCATTTTTTTCTGCGAACCAGGGTCCTTCGATCCGATCGATCCGATTCGACATCGATTTCGTCCAAGTCGATTCGATTCGATTCTGACTTCCCGCCGATCCGATGCGGCTCGATGCTTACATGGCGCTGTTGTGCATCCTGGTGCAGCCGATTCTGATTCGATTTCGACTCCGTGCCGATGCGGCCCAATCCGACGCACGTTCCGATTCGATCAGATTTTCTGATTCGATGCTGACCGATCTTGCGAAGCAAAGGTTAGAGACGCGAGAGAGGCTGTTCACACTAACCTGTTTCACGATTTCATCGTTTGCTAAGTCTGCCTCCCGTGCCACTGACGCTAGCGCTAGCTCCACCAGAATGGAGCAGCGCATATCTGCCAGCATTGATTCCAGATAGGAGTAGTCGAATGAGTTGAGGGTGCTTTATTGGATTCCAACAGTTTTTGACTCCATACGACTCCATTGGACTCCAGTGGGCTCCAGCGGACTCCATTCGATTCCGCAGGAGACCACTGGATTCGAGGGGACTCCACTGGACGCCAGTGGAACCCATTGGATTCCATTGGCATGGTTGGCGTTGCAAGCGCTGCTGGCATTGTTTGGCTTTTCCCGGTTCAGCCTGTGAAAGCATCAAGACGACGTGAAGACGCATGCCCACTTGCGTTTTTTTCCATGTGCTCGCGTTTTCATGTCTCCCTGGGGCAACATGCTGTGTCATGTTATACAACATCTTCGCAGGGCGCCCCTTGTTCGATTTTTTATTGTTAGTCGTTATACACTGTTCCTGTTCCTGGTGCTCCTCCCCTCTTTGCTGACTCCTCTTTACTAGCTGTTTTCAGTTCGGCACACGTGTTCGCGCGCGCCGTTCTAAAGGCTAACAAAAACGCGTTGAAGACGGTGTGAAGCCAGTTGGAAAGGGGCCCAGAGGCCCGCTGGTAGTCGTAGCGGTGATGAGTTGCAAGTGTAGCAGTGATGGAAGTGCCAGCAACGGTAGTGGCTGTTGTAGCGGTAGCGGTGATGATGTGGTAACGAACATGGAAACGCAAACAAATACTTAACGTTTTTTGTAGGCATTCAGTTGCCCTGCAGAAGGGCGAAAACTGTAAGAACATGATTCTGGAAATGCCATTGAGAAGAGAGTAAAACAATGCCCTGGGCATTTTCGACCCCAACCATGCTATTGGGCTCATTGGACTCCATAGGGACCAAGTGCGCTCCAGTTGTTCAATGGGTTCCGTCGGACGCCACATGTCCCCAATGGCCTCCGTACGACTCCATTCCATTCGACTCCAGGAGCTCCTGTGGACTCCATTGGACTCCAGTCGACTCCAGTGCACTTCATTGGACTCCAGTGGACTCCACTCCGTTGGACTCCATCGGGCTCCAGATGCCTCCATTCGACTCTATTGGACTAGTGGGCTCCATCGAACTTCATTGGACTCCATAGGACTCTATTGGACTCAATTGGACTCCAGTTGACCCCGGTGGTCTCCATAGGCCTTCGTAGGATTTAATTGCGGTGGGGACGTTGGTTAAGGAATCCGCCCAGGAGGCTGCAGACCCTGGAGGATTCCTTATCTGATTACGGCGGCGGCGATATCCATGGCCGATCCGCGATTGGAATCCCACTGGCTTCCAGATCCTGGATTCCTTACCTACGGGTTCCGTGTCCAATGTCCCTACCGTTCCGTAGCCATTTTGGCTCAAGCCGGTCTCAAGCCCCTGGTTGCCATCTGCCTCCGCTCATGGCCGGTCCGGGTGCAGCAGCTGCTTGAGGAGATGGTGACGGGAGGGGACCCCCGCAGGTCCCCACGCTCACGCGCGGAGCGCAGCGAGGCTGCGCGGCGGGCGCGCTCGGCGGCGGACGCCGCCGTGCGGCATGCCCGAGCGCGGGTGGAGGAGCTCGTGGAGCGGCTGGCCCTCGCCGAGAGGACGCTGGAGGCCTTCGCGGGCGATGCTGAGCTGGCCGACAGGCTCGCCGCGGTGGTGCCTGCGCTGGACGCGCTGGTCAACGGCGAGCAGCCCTCCTGGCTGGCGCGGCTCAGGAGGAACGTCGCGCTGCACGCCAAGGCGGGCGCCATCAAGGGGCGCATCGCAGGGGCGGCGGCGAACGAGCTCAGGAAGGCGCAGAAGCAGGAGCGCCTCGGGAAGCCCCCCTTCCTCAACCCCTCGGCGACGGAGGAGGTGCACGAGGACAAGGCGGGGGCCGCGCAGAAGCAGGGGCATGCGGCTCAGCAGGTGCAGAGGATGCTGCACGAGAGAGAGCTGCCCCAGGCAGCGCCCGAGGACGTCCTGGGCGCGAACTGGCTGGCGCCAGGCTGCTGGCAGCCAGGCGACCCCGAGCTGGAGGCGCGGGCCTTCGGAGAGGGATTCGCAAGTGGCTGGCGGCTGGCGGCGCGGCGCGCGGAGGCCTCGGAGGGCCCCCCTGCGGCTGAGGCCACGCAGGTGGTGACCATCTGGACTTGCTGTCTGGAGGCGGGGACGCGGCCCGAGATGCACGGCATCGGGATCGAGCTGCGGCGCCTCCCCAAGGACAACCAGGCCCCGCCCGAGCCCACGGCGGCGAGTGACCACTCGATAGAGTACGGCGTCCGCCTGGGCCCCACGCAGCGGCAGCAGGGCATCGACGGCGATGGCGAAGTGCTGCCGCTAGCGGCCGAAGGCGGGAGCGGCGGGCCGCAGCTCGAGGGCCCCGAGGGCGCTGCGGCCGCCCGCGCCCGCGACCTCGCCGAGCTCTACGCCGCTTCCAGGAGGAGATCGGGCGCTGAGCGGTGGCGGGGCCCTAGAATGCCTGCGTGAAACCGCCGTGCTCGCGCGGCGCCTACACAGACAAAAAAAAATGCCCCTGCCGTTCCGTAGCCATTTTGGCTCAAGGCCAGGTCCGCCCGCTTTCGGGCGCGCGGGGCCCAGGATGGCGCGGGATGGCGCGGAGTGCGCGCCAATGCGTTCGGCGGCCCAGCGTGCTGCGGGACGGCAGTGGGCTAAGTGGTCCGCCGACAACGCCGTGCGGCGGCTGACGGGCGAGTTGGGGAGGACTCGGGCCCGTCTGGAGGCCGCGGAGCAGGCCTTGGGCGCGGCCATCGGGGATGACGAGGTGGCCCACAGGCTGCAGGCGATGCTCCCCGCGCTGCAGGCCACGCTGGGAGGGTGGACCCCATCCTGGCTCGAGCGCCTGCGCCGCAACGTCGCCCTCCATGCCGAGGCGCAGGGCGTGGACATTGTGGCGGCCAGCGCGGCGGAGCTACGTTCTGCGCAGCGGGGGCCCCGGCTGGAGCGGCGCGCGGCGGCCGATGGCGCGCTGAGGGCGGATGCGCCTCCCTTCGCCCCCCTCGGCCCCATCGGCGCTGGCGCGCCCGGCGGCGGCGTGCCCCGCGCGCCGCGCGACGCCAGCCAGCTGCTGGCGGACCTCATCGCCTACGCCGCCCCCATGCAGGAGGCGCTTCTCGGCGAGGGTTGTCAGCACGCGCAGACCGACGGCGTCGACGCGGAGCTGGAGGCCGCCGACGGCGGGAGCGGCGGGCCGCAGCTCGGTGGCCCCCAGGGCGCTGCGGCCGCCCGCGCCCGCGACCTAGCCGAGCTCCACGACGCCTTCGTGGAGGAGGTCTTCGCGTCGGCGAACGAGGCCTTCGGCGTCCAGGACGACCCGAACCAGCTGATGGCTGATCTGGCGGCGGAGCTCGGCGGCGAGGCCGACTCCAGGTACGCCGCCGCGGCGGAGCCCGGCCCTGGGACAGGTGGATTCAGCCCACCGAAGTCGCAGTCCCAGGGTCGCGGCGAGTTCGTGAAGCCGCACGACGCGGAGGTGAACGCTGCTGGCATCGCGGAGCTCGACGCGCTGTATGCCGCTGCTGGGGGCACGGCGCTGGTGCACGGCAGCGGCGCGCGGGCCCGCGGCGGGTTCGCCCAGGAGGCCGCCCTGAGCGGCGGCGCAGCAGGCACCTCGGAGCCCATCGGGCTGTCCGAGGCTGCTGGTGGCGAGGTGCTGCCGCAGGCGTCCGTGGGCACGAACAGCAGTGTGGTTGCTGCAGAGGCCGTGGCTGAGCAGGACGCCTGCGCGGACCTCTCGGCGGATGACCTGCGGGAGCGCCGCTCGGAGCCGAGCCCGACCGCGCCCGAGAAGGCCTCGGGCCAATGGCGGTCGGCATCGGACGAGCTCCGAGGCGCGACGTCAGCCCTCCTCATGGACCTGGAGGCGCAGCTGGCGGCCGTGTGGGCGCGCGTGTAGCCTCGGCCTGCCGCCCCCTCTTCCTGAATGCATGCATGAACCCCCTGCGCGCGCGCAGGGCCTACAGATATAAAAAACATGTCCCTACCGTAGCCGTTTCGGCGCGAGCTGGTTTCCTTGAGCTGACTCAGCTCGCGTTTGTGCTCACTTACTTCGAAGCGGCGGAGTGGGCACGAGCCAAACTTTCACGACGACGGCCCCACCCGCGGCAGCCCGCGGGCCATGGCGCCGGCACAATCGGACCCTGGCATCATCCCAGGCGCGAGTAAGACACCCCTCTGGTCTTGCTCCTGCGGCCAGGATGGCAACTGGGCGTCCAGGACGCGCTGCCGCCAGTGCTGGAAGGCGGCTCCCACCCATGTGGTGCAGGCAGCCAAGCTCTCGGCAGCAGCAGCCAACGGGCCAGCACCCAGCACGTCTCGCCCGCGCGGGGCATGGGCGCAGGGCCCGCCAGGTCAAGGTCAGCTTCTGGCGCAGCTGCAGCAGTTGCAGAAGCAGGTGGCGGAGCTCAAGGGCGAGGCCCCGCCCCCGACGGAGCCCTGGAAGGGGCGCAAGCCCCCGCCCAGGAAGGTGGCCGAGGCGGGTGCTGGCATCTCCTTCAAGGATGCACGCACCTTCTTGGAGAAGGAAGGGCTTGACACCAGCGCGGTGGTGGAGGCAGAAAAGGCTGCGGAGTCGAAGGCGCTTGAGGGCAAACAGCCGACTGCCCAGACGCAGCGCTGGCGGGTCAAGGCCATGCGCGACAAGATCAAGAAGCTCGAGTCCCGAGAGGCAGCAATCGTGGAGCAGCAGGCCGCTCTCGACAAGGAGCTCCAGGAGCTCAGGGTGTCTCTCGGCGAGGAGAACCAGAAGCTCTACGAGGGGGGGGCCAAGTTGGTCAAGTTGCAGGCCAGCGAGTTCCCCGACCCGATTTTGGCAGTCGCAGCGGGTCTGGGCGAGGACGTCGTTGCCAGCCAGGGGGCCAAGGACGCCCTCGCGGTCCTGGCCCGCTTGCAGTCCGCGGCCAGCGACAGCAAGAAGGCAGCTGCCGCGGCCAGGGCCGCTGCTGCTCCTCCTCGTCCTGCTGCTGGGGAGAGTGACGCGGGCGGGGAGCACCAACCTGTGCCAGAATCAGATGACATCGACATGGAGTTGCTTGGGGGAGAAGGCTGGGAAGAGAAGCGCGAGGAGTTCGCTGCAGCCTCAGCAGCCCTCCGTGAAGCGACCCCTGAGCAGCGAGAGGAGGCCAAGCGCAAGCTGCGCGACGCCTTGGACGCGCTCTGGGCGGCAGGCAAGCGGCCTCGGCACCTTTGGCCCCAGGGGCCTGGAGGAGCAGCGTGCCCAAAGGACAGGCAGTCCGCAGCCCAGCCGAGGGCCCGCATGTAATAGTGGGTTGCTCATTCAGGATGACGTGGCTACAGGCTCGGGCGTGAGCCCCCCCTTGGACCTCGTCTGCAAGGTGAAGCGCCGCTCCCAGCCCAGGGCCGAGGCGGCAGGCGCGGGGATGCCCGCAGCGACCGCCTGGCTCCAGCTGGCCAAGCTGGTGAGACCTTCGGAGCAGCAGGGCGCCAGTTTCATCAGCATCAACGGCTCCACTTGGGCTGAGTCCCAGACGGCCCTCGAGCAGCTGCTGGATGAGAAGGTCAGAGACGACGTGCACCTCATCCAGGAGACCCGCTTCACCTCGGCGTCGGCTGCTGGCTCGGCCCGTGCCTGGTGCAAGCGGAACGGCATCAACGCGGCCTTCGGGGAGTGCCGCAGCACGGGGTCGGCGGTCCAAGCCGTCTCTTCTGGAGTCGCAGTGCTGGTCGGGGAACACCGCGGAGTGGCCCCGATTGACCAGGCCTGGGGCCAGCACGCCTCAAGGATATTGGCGAGGCGCGTCGCCTTCGGGGACCTGGTCGTGGTGTGTGTCAGCCTGTACCTGCAGTGCTCGGTCAAGCTCAACGAGACCAACGTGGACCTCTTGAGTGAGCTGCAGGGTTTCCTCCTGGGTTTGCGGGGGCCCTTCGTAGTGGGGGCGGACTGGAACCTGGAGCCCAGCCTCCTCAGCGGCTCGTGGTGGCCACGCGCTGTGGGGGCGGTGATTGTGGCCCCAGACGAGCCAACCTGCGGAGGTAGCACTTGCGACTTCTTCGCGATCTCTGACGTCCTGGCGGGGCTAGGGCCGAAGGTGTCGGTGCTCAGGCAGGCGTCTACGCACCCGCACGCCCCCGTCAGGCTCACTTTCGAGAAGCTGAGCAGCCAGGCAGGTGTCTGGGTGCAGAAGGGCCCCAAGCCTTTCGAGCTGCCTGCGGCCAAGCAGGAGAGGATCCAGCCTGAGCCAGAGGAGGAGGACTCGCTGACGGACTGGAAGGCGCCGCTCCTGGACGAGAGTGGGAGCCCAAACAAGGCGATCATGGAGTTCTTCGACCAGGCTGAGGAGCGTTTGATTCACATCTTCGGCATCAAGGATGGTGCCAAGTTCAGAGGCAGGGCGCAGGGGCTTAAGAGGGTGCCCAAGCAGCTCATTCACCTCCTGCGCTCGGAGGAGGTGCGCAGGACCAGTCCGCTAACGCGCTGCTGGATCACTTTGGGGCGCCTGGCCACGCAGCTGGCGGCCGCGGCGTCGGTGCCCCACCCCTCGCCTGGACACCGCAAGCACGTCAAGCGGCTGCAGGCGGCCGCCCTCGGCCTGGTCCCCAAGTTTGAGGCAGAGGGCTGCCAGATGTTCGGCGGCGCCAAGATGGCGACGATGCTGGCGGAGATCTCGGGCAGGTCGCAGCAGGGCGGCATCTTCCTCCAGGCCATCAGCGCCGCGGTGGAGGTCAAGCGCAGGGAGGACGTGAAGCTCGCCAGGCAGCGCTGGAAGGAGTTCATGGCCGAGGCCCTCAGTGGGAACGGCAAGGGCGCCCACGCGATCAGCAAGCAGGCCAACCTTGAGACCTGCTCCATCCTTGGCCCTGGCGAGGGCGAGGCCCCTCCTGTCCCGCTGGTCGGGCAGCAGGCCCTTGACAGGATCCTTCACGAGTGGAAGGCGCTCTGGCACAAGGAGGGCTCCGCCTGCGTTCGCCCCGAGAACTGGGACGAGCCTTGGGATCTAGGCGCCATCACGGGTGAGGATGTGCCGGCAGCGGCCAACCAAGACCTTTCCCAGGCAGGCGGCGCTTGGATGGGACGCCTTCCGCCCCAGGCTCATCCTCAGCCTAGACAGGGGATTCGCGGACAGGCTGGCGGAGATCTTGACAGCCTGGGAACGGCACCCCCAGCCGTCGGAGCTTTTCACCACGATCATCGTCTTCCTGGGGAAGCCAGACGGGGGCCGCCGCCCGATCGGGCTCCTCTGCATGTGGATGCGCATCTGGGGCCGCATCAGGCGCAAGTATTGCGCGGGCTGGGAGAAGGACCACAAGCTCCCAGAATATTGGGGGGCAGATGCGGACACCTGCTGCGACAGGGCGGCCTACATCCACAACCTCCTGCTCGGCCTTGCGCGCGAGAAGAACTTTGAGGCCGCATCGGTCTACTTTGACATCAACAAGTTCTACGAGCAGATCAGGCACGGGCTGCTCCTCGAAGCGGCGCGGGGCTGCGATTTCAACACTGGGTTGATTCAGGCGCTGTGTGTGCTGTATTCGGGCCCCCGCAGGGCCATGGCAGACCTAGCCCTCAGTGAGCAGCTGGTCGTCGACGACACTGTCATTGCTGGGTGTTCCTGTGCGACGACCATGGCGAGGATCATGGTGTACGACCTCCTGCTGCAGTCGAGGAGGTTGCTGCCCATTGGCAGGGTGGTCAACGTGATTGACGACATCTCGGGCCACGGCATAGGCACGCGGAGGCTTGTCGTCGAGCAGATCGCCAGGTTCGCGAAGGGCGTCGCCACCATGCTGGGCGAGAAGAGGCTCCCCATCAACTGGGGAAAGACCAAGGCACTGGCCTCCTCGGTGAAGCTGAGGAGAGAGCTGCAGCAGCACGCCGACTGGGTACTCGCCGACGAAGCCTTCGTCGCTGGCCACCGCGACCTTGGAGGGGGCGCGACGGCGGGCAGTCACCGCAGGGTCGGTACGCAGGTGGCCAGGGAGCTGGCGGCGCTGCGGCAGGGCAACAACCTCACCAGGATCTTCGGCTCGGGGATGAGGCAGGCCAAGATCCAGAGGGCAGGCCCCGCTGCCAAGGCCCTGTGGGGTTCGGCCATAAACGGGATCCCGCCTGGGCGCATGAGGGCACTCAGGATCGCCGCGGCGAAAGCCGCCAGCAACTTGCCGACTGGAGCCGCTCTGACCTTCTGCCTGCAGTGCGCGCCCCAGGGCTGGAGGCAGGACCCGCTGGTGATCGCGACGGGATTGGCGGTCCAGGCGTTCGTGGCCATGAGCTGGTCGGGACAGGCCTCTCCAGCCGCCGTGCAGGCCTGCCTCAGGGACAGCAACCGCCTGGCCTCCATGCAGAGACCGTGGGCCTCGGTGCGCGACCCCGTCTCGGCGCTGGTGCTCACGCTCGGGCGGGTCGGCTGGAGCCTCAGGGCTGGCGGACGCGTTCTGGCCGACAGGGAGGGCTGCGATGCGAGTTCGATGTCAAGAGGTTCTCGCCTGCCTTCCTCGCCGCCAGGGTCAAGGAAGACACGCGTCAGGCGGCGTCGCTCGAGGAGTACGTCAGCAGGCCAGAGTCCTGCTGGCAGTGGAGGCTGCCGCCTTGGTGGGCGCCGATCAACCAGCTTCTCGGCGCCAAGGAGTCGGAAACCTGGACGGCTCACCACAAAGGCTGCTTGAGACGCTTGGCGTCGCTGGCCAGCTGGCCCCGGGCTCGGCTGGCGAGGCATGGGCGCGAGATCGACCCGCTCTGCAGGCTCTGCGGTGCCGCCCCTGGGACGATGCACCACAGGCACCACGTGTGCCCAGCCTGGGAGGCCTGGAGACGGGACTATTGCCCGCACCAGGTGAGACAGGCAGCGGGGCAGGCCCGCCGCATGGGGCCCCCCTTCGACGAGCTCTTCAGTCAAGGGCTCTTCGCGGACATCAGTCTCCTAGTGGCCAGGCCAGCCT